GAGCAGAACAGGCAGACCAACGAAGTACACTGCTGAGGGGAGCAGCGGGCAGGTCAGGAGAGGTCTGCCACGCCATGTGGGTCACCCCCGGGGCTAGAGATCAGACCAACACTGAAGTGGCTGCTGCTGGCTTGCAGTGCTGTGCTTTCACCCGCTGTGCCACCAGGAAGGGCCCAGATATTGCATTTCTAACAAATCTCCTCAATACTGATCCCGCTGGTCTGGGACTCACAATTTGAGAACCACTGTTCTGAAGCAATATTGCTCTCTCTGGCTACATGTTAGTACCCCCCTAGGATGATTCTGGGTGTTGTTTTGTTTTGCTTTTCTAAGAGTAGCACCTAAATATTACCAATTAAAAGACTCTCTAAGGATAGAGGTCAATGCACTGATAATCATTTTAAAAGCTCCCTCTGGTTGCTCTAGTTCATGGACAGGTAACAGACATCAAACTTTAGTGTGCATAAGCCCAGAGCTTGGTTGGGGGGAAAAAAAACCAAAAAACTACAACATCAGAATTCTGGACACCATCTCCAGATATTCTAATTCATGAGGATTCCCCTCCCCCACCCAGATCTACATTTTATCATCAAGCTCCCAAAGGATCTGGAAGGAGGTGTTGTCCCAGAGTCACGATTCCAGAAAATGACTTTGGAAGCAGACCGAGGACAAGAAGCCCTAATCTCAGAATCAGTAATGAAGAATCCAGAGGTCAAGCACCCAGGGCCACTAATGATAACATCCTTCGACAAGGACAGGGGCCTCTTTGGGGTTCACTGCCTCCTGGTCTACCCTGCCCTACTGGAGGGGCCCCCCCATCCTCCCTCCCCTCAACAAAACTGAACTTCCACACCCACTCTTCAGACCCAGTCAAGGACCTGGATTCGATGCAGAGCTTCGATGCAGAAATACAATCAGCAAATACAAAATTTTAGGAGGGGTGGAGGACACAGAACATGGAACAAGGCAGGCAGATGTGAGCACCACCACTAGGCTCAAGCCCAGCCACAGAATCTGACAGAAGTCACTCTCAGACAGACGGGAGGGTAGGTGGGGATGATACCGATTGCTTTGCTGGAGGTACTAAGAGGAGTGAGTGAGCTAATGAACATCAAGGGCCCAGACAGGGTCAGGTCAGAGGAAGTGCTACATCAATGCGGTGCCCTACCCATCCTGACATCACAAGTCAGTGCCAGAAAAGAAACACTTGCAACAGGAACCCTAAGACAAGCATGTTCTAAGTGGTACCACTGCAGGAAGGCTCTTTCAGCAAGAAAAAGTCCTGCAACACAGGTGGAGAGAACAGCAAAGAGCACAATGCTTCTGGAAGCTGAACATCAACTGATGGGAACAGGGGGGCTCTGGACCCTTAAATCCGAGGCCCTTGGGACAGGGACAGAGGGACCTAGGTGGCCAAACAGGGTCTTAGGGCTAGCCCTTTCGCCAGAACCTGGGCACAGCAGGTTATAACTCATTTTCACCTCCATGCCCAGGATGGGCTACAGGGGCCATTCAGTTATGCCCACAGAGGCCTCATCTCAGGGACCCCAGCTGGGGTCAGCATCTGCTCGTCCTGTCTAGCAGGTCATGGCATCTCGAGGGTCAAAGGTATCTGGATTTCCCATCCACTCTCTCACCTGGGGTTCATCTTGCCGCAGCTACACCCCAGTGATGGGGAAGCTCACCATGGACTAAGGTGGCTCTTTTAGAAAATCTGTTTTCCTTTATTCTGGGACACAGCCTCTGCATGCATGAGCCAGGGTAAGTCCCCTTTCAGCTTAGCAGGTTGATTTGGGTTTTGACACTTGCGAACAAAGGCACGCACCTGAAAGACTCCTCAGTCGTAGTCCACTTTGTGTCTCCCCTCACCTGGATCCTCAAGTGAGACGCCCAGCAGGGAGCCCTATATCCCTGCGGATCTGGGCAGAGCAGACCCACTGCCCCCTTGATCTGGGCGCCCTGTCCCTTAGAGGGAGGCCAAGGTGGTGCCAGTCTCTCCAGCAGCCACGCCAGGCCCAGGACTCACACAGCACAAAGGCAGTATATTTTCCTACATGTGCTGCTGGGAAGCCAAGCACCTCCATCCTGCAGTACACATCAGGGCAACTAGTTCGCACAGAAGCTCAGCAACTGCAGCAAAAGCTACGGGCAAGGGACAGCGCTGGTACAACACAGCTGCCTTCAATGACAAGCTGCCAGTTTCCAAAAGGTGCGAACGCCAGTTACTGCTCGGGGCTGTACCGCTCCTGTAGTGAGCCCTCCGCAAGGACGCACGCAGCTTCTGCACTCACAGCAAACACGTTTCCCAGCACAATGATGACCCCAGCTCAAGTCCAGAGCCAACGTGATGTCTCTGGACTCCCAGAAGCAGCAGCATTTCAAAGAGGCTGGGAAGCTTGGGGGTTCAGAACACCAGCTTCAGACAGAGCTCTACCCAAACGCCCACTCCCAAGTAACATTGTGGGCTTGGGAAAGTGGCCTCATGTCTTTGAGCCACAATTTAAAAAAAAAAGGAAGTGGGGGGGCAGCACATTTCACAGAAGCAAAACATAGTGACGGGCACACCGGACCCTCTAACACTCGGCTTCTGTGGGGTGCCTGGACACACAGAACTGGCTTGGCCTCATAGCTTGTGCCTCCCTTTTTCTCTCTGCTTCTTAATCCATGTTAGCTCCAATTCTACAGTCTGGAACTAAGCACCCCTTCTCTCCTGGACCAACTTGGAGAGACATCTACCCCACACCAACAAGGATGCAAAGGCAAACGAGCTGTCTGGCCCGCTCAGGCCAGAAGGACAGAACCTTCCAAGTTCTCTCCTGCACTCTGAAGAGTGTTTCAAGGTGCCCCTGTGCTGGCCCGGAGCCACGCCTCCCCCAAAGCGGGAGATGATCTACAAATAGTTGTTTTCCCACTGCCTCACCCTGGGGTGGGTGTCAGAATTAGCAGGGGACATGGTGACTGGCTCTCTGGAGGTGTGGACGGTGGCTCCATCACAGTGGTGCTGGAGGCCCCTGCTCCGGTCACACAGGCAGGACCCGGCCCTGTCCTTTCGGGCACAAGGGCATGGCCGGCTGCAGTTGGCCCACACCGCCACTGTGAGCATGATGCCTCCTTAGCTGGACCACCAGCCTTCAGCATTCCTGACGGTGTGATCTGATCAGAGTGAGCTATGTGAGCTAGAAAACGTTCTGGACCTGAACAACGCCCATGTTTGGCTTGTGTCTGAAGGCCAAGTTTAATTCTTGCTCCTACGCCTTTCCTTCCAAACCCAGGGGTGGGACCAGGAACCTGCAAGGCCTGCCTGCTCCAGCAGCAACCCCTGGCTCTCCTTGGCTCTCGCCATTCCCTTTTGAACCTCAACTGACCCAAACCCTCTGGCTCCTCAAGGCTGCACACATGTGGACCTCTGCCGGAAGCCCTCCCAACACTGCAGCCCGCAGCGATCCTCACTGCAGGCTCTGAGAGCTGTGCCGGACAAGTCTTGGTACACTCAGTATAACAAGTCAGTTTTATCTGGACATGTTTCCTTTCCCAGCCCAGACTGCCCGGAAGTTGTTCAAGGCTACCATGTGTCAACCATTCTCATGCATCCCCCTGGGTTTCTCCAGAGCTGGGTGCACAGCAAGTGTTCAACAGATACATAAGTGAACTGGCTGATTTCTAACCAAAAAAGCTCTGATCTTGCCTCAGAGACTTCTTCCCACCTCCATCCACTGCCAGAGGACCTACTGTTCACACCCAGGCTTCCACAAACCCTGGAAAACATCTCAAGCCAGGTACCAGGGATGGAGAGAGGCCTGTCCTCTGCAGCCTTCTGAGCGCCCTCCCTCAGGCCTCTTGGCGGCCCTCTGCACTAGCAGTGGCTGAAAGATCACATTCCTCTGACTATTTCATGGCTCAGGCCTATGCAGAGCTTTGCACAGTGGGAGCTTTCAGAGAGCTGCAGATGAAACAATAGCAGCATTCCTGCAGGAGCCTCTCGAACTTCTCCAGCTGCTTTCTCAGGCTCTCTGGGTGGCAAGTTTTATCACTACAGGGAGGGGCTCAGTGTGGTCTCCAACATGGAAATGGGAGACAACATTGTTTCTTCTTTTTTCTTTTCTTTTTTTTTTTTTACATTTAAGAGGACAGATTTATTAGGAAAAGGAGAAAGAAAATGAGAGGCACCTGCATAGTCACAGGCGAGCTGCCAGAAGTCTCCTTTGAAAGCTCAGGCCACATCATTCCTTGTGGTGCTTGGTCCCCCAGCAATAAAAGCAACCAAGCTACCAAACTCTTTGGGTCTTAAAACACACACTGCCACCCACTGGAGGCTCTGAAGAAGAGAGTGGTTACTGTCTAGAGGGACCTTCTGGATAGTAGGACAAGAGATCAAGGTCTTGTTCCCTCAACTGTAAACCAGAGACCTTACAGCAAAATTGTAGGAACCTAAGGAAAGCCCAGAGTTTGAGACTATAAGCAATAAAACCCTTCTGATTCAAGCAGGAGAATGCTTCACTCAGGACCCAGATTTGATAAGACCCGTGTGGCTCTGGCTTGGGGTTTGGTTCCAAGGAGGCTGACACTCTCAGAAAAATGAGGGTTCACAGGAGGCAAGACCCCTGACACACCACTCACCTTGAGGTCTAGGTACTCCAGATCTTTCTTCAGCTGGAGGTAGGTATCATCAGCCTTCAAGTGAAGCACAGAGAGAAAAATGTCAGCTATGAACATGAAGAATTTGCATAACTCAGAGCTGCACATGGTAACTGTTTCTGCTACTCGGGGACCATAGCAGACCAACACATCCAGAGCCACAGCCCAAGCGCCCACGTCTCAGCGCAGTTCAGAGCCCTGTCAGCCCGCTGGATCTGGCAAATCACTGTCGGGAGAGCCAGCGTGTCCTCTGTTGGCTAGGAGGACAGTTTGATGAGAGGCGGGAGACAGCACAGCAGAGGGAAATCCGTGGGAGCTCCCAAGACAGAATCAGAGAGGTTTAGCTGGAAGAGGCCATGACCCCCTGAGCCAGGGCCCCACCAATCACAATGCTGCAATTCTTGTCATCAAACCTCCGCACTGGGTGATTCACATGCATCAAGCAAAATGGCACCTGCAGGCTGTGGAGGAAAGCCTTGAAGAGGCAGGGAGAGGACCCTGGTGATCCCAGGAGGTCCCTCTGACTTTGGGATCCAGAGTGAGAAAGCACTGGCAGCCACCGGAAGTTTCCTCGAAGTACTGGCTCCCTTTGCTCAGCATGGCATGAGGTCAGCATAACTATGGCAAGAGCTGGTCAAGAAGCCCCAGACCAGACCTATCTGCTCTGTCATCTGACAGTCTGTCAAGTTCTTTGGTGGAAAGACTGAATTCCTAGGACTTGCGCCTCCCATGTAACAGATCACAGAAGCTCACTGTGAGGCAGAAGAGCCATGAAAGCTCAAGGAAAACAGTCCAGCTCCACTTTCTCTGCAGACTACGAGGTTTCTCAGTAAGCCAATGCCAGCCTGGGCTGGGAGGTGGCCCTGTTCACAGCTCTAATGTAAAACAAATGCACAAACAATGCAATGCATTCAGGAAGTACTTTTTAGCATGAGAAAGCCTGAGGGGACACCAGTGGCTTCCAAGATCTTACTATTATTATCCAGAAACTACCTCCTTACCTTTCCCTACTTCCCTAAGTTGCCCAACCCCTGAAGTAAAGATAAGAGTGAAGAATGTTAGTAAAAAAAAAAATCACCCAAATTGACAACTTCAGGGTTTTGTACATGTTCCCTTATATTCACTTTTCAAAATATATTTTCTGATTCCCTCCAGTCTCACTAAAGCAGGACAAGAAAGGAAGGAGACAATTTCGCCTCCTTCCTCAACTGTCCACTGATTTTGTGCAGCCTGGAGGGACCGGCCTCATGTGGACCAACATCTTCTTGAACTCTGTCAAGATGCCTGAAAAGCAACTGCCCAGTGGTTTCCTTGCAGCTTCCGGCTAAGCCCCGTGTCCTGGGACGTTTAGAATGTTATGCCGCAGAGGACTTGCATTTTGGCTCTGGCCTACATGTTGGCAGTCCCGTGCGGTCATGACCATTATCCGACCCTTTCTCAGGTTCGCCAGGATGCGGGATATGAGGTTGCTTTGCCTCTCAGCAGGACACTGTCTAGATGACAGAGGCCACTGTGCCTTCTCCCTCCAGGCTGACACATCACATCTCAAGGAGTGTCCATAGTTTGACAAGATGACAGCCAGCACAGCCCTTGGGACACAGCCACACATCCGTTACTACGCACAGGCAAAGAAACCACAGTCCGGGAGCCTCACACCACATGCAGCCTCATCCCCGGCGTCAGGGGGCGTGGACCCCACCACTGCTGCACAGAAGCAGTGCGGCATCCACAGCATCCAGAAGCACACAGGCAGGACAAGGGAGAGAGCCAGCAGCAAGTACAGACCAGTGCACGGACATGATGAGGGCATACAGGGCAACATGGCACTCCCTTGCCCGCAGGGCGGCCTGGCCCGGAGCGAGCCCACCATCGCTGACCTGGTAGGTGGGAAATGTCAGCTGGTGCTGCAGTAACTGGCCGACGGCAAAATTTCTCACACTGGCCAACTTGGCCTGGTGCCGCCGTAGGCGGGTGAGAAGCAGTGAGAGCTCCTCCAGCTGCAGGTGTGTAGACACAGCACGAGGAAGTTAGCCACCACCGGAGCACGACACCATTACTCTGCGCCCCAGGGCGGGACAGCATGGCCGCGGCACCCTTAGTGACTCCTGCATTGACTCCGTCATTAGGACAAATAAAGGCTCTGGCAGAAAGGGGGCTGCAGGAAGTGGTTCTTTCAGGAGATTGCAGCCAACAGTGCAACTCCTCCAGCCTCCTTGAAGGCTGATTTAATGGCGCAGAGACCAGGGAGGCAAGGAGTGAGACGAGAACGGCAGGTAGCCGGAGAATGTGGCAGATGAGATGGGCCCTAAAGAGAAGAGCCCACACTGTCCTGCACACCCGCCTTGAGCTCTTCGACCGACCTGGGAGTCCCCAAAGCAAGTCATTGGCTCTCTCTGAGTCTGTTACCTTATTTGTTATTTCCATAGACTGCTTTGGAATAGCTGGGGGGAGGGGAAAGGCGGGAGAAGTAGGGGAGGGACTTGGGGAGACAGCCCTTTGCAGGCTGCACCATCTCATTCACCTGGGAAGGTGGCGGTGGAAGAATGAGGTGCTGCTTACCGATTTCCCGTGTAAACTGGGCGCACTGACGGTGTGGGTCATGTAACCCATGGAGGGCATGGAGCGTCTGTCCACAGGAGAGAAGTTCTGCAGAGAGGAGACACGAGACATCACGCCGAGGGCCAAACCAGGAGCCAGCGAGTGGCTAGGACCTGGCCACTCACTACGTGGGCACCCCACCTCTCCGAACCTCAGCTTTTTCATCTATAAAATGGAGGTACAGAACTTTCTCACCAGATTAAAGCAATAACCTGTGAAAGCCCCTTTGGAGAATTAAAAACTTACTAGGAAGAACTGAACACAGACATCCTTTCTTGCTTTCAAAGCCCTAGTTGTGTGACTATGTAAGTTACTTGGTCTCTTAATACCTCAATTGTTCTCATCTGTTAAATGGGCACAAAGAAATAGCATGTACCTCAGAGGGTTATTGGAAGAATTAAAAGGCATTTAGTCAACACCTAGCACCTGAAAATGCTAGGGAAGTATTCGCTATCATTATTGTCCCAAACTGCTCAAATTTGTGTTCCAAGCACAGAAGGCCCCTGGCACTCTCCCCTCCAGGCCAGCAACCTCCCAGGGCCTGCAGAACCTCACCTTGGTGGCATGGCCACGGATTTTCCTGGGAGAACCCCCCAGCGAGATGTCGACGCTCCTCCTCTGGTCTGGAGGCTTCACAGTGACCCTCTCTGCTGGTGTGTGTGGTCGCCGGGGTGGAAAGACCCTCGGGGGCCCTGGGGGTGGGATGTCCGAAGGAGACGGAGGCACAGAGATGGAGCGGGGTACCTCTAGCATGCTCTTGCTCCGGCCCTGGTCCGTGAACTCTGGGGAGCCAGCACAGATGGGTGCCGTGGGGCTGCCATGCCGGAACTGCTGGCGCTGCTGCCACTCATAGAGCTGCCACACGGTGCCATCCCGGTGTGCCCGGCGCTCCTCACTCGACATCTTCAGGTGGCTGGCTCGGTCCTGTGCATACTTATAGTCACTCGGCAGGTTGCGGGGTGGAGGGGAAGAGCTCCCCGAGGGGTGTCGGGTGCTCTTTGGGAGAGTCTGGTAGTTTTCTGGGAAGGACAGAGGCTGGCTAGGGCCCTGGCGAGGAAGGGTCTGGTCCAGGGGCAAGCTGCAGAGGAAGGAGAATGACAGGTGAGACCACTGAGCAAGTATCTTCCAGGCTTCAGAAACAGCAAAGTAAAATCCAAAGACTAGGCAGGTGAGGACACCCGGTAGGAACCCCAAAGAGCAGCCAGAGCAGGCACGCAGGACTTCAGTCACTTCCTGCCCTCGCAGAGAACTCCAGAACCACTTGTCTCCATGAACTTTGACATATCAACTCCCTACCAGGACAACTGGGCTGCCCCACACCTGTCACTCAAGTGCAGAGTGATGAAACCTGCCTCCTCCTCTCCCTCTTGCCATGAATCAACTCTTCCAACAAGGGTGCAGGGAGAAAAGGACTCACAATTCTCCGGGTCACCCTCCACCCGTATCCAAGCACGTTCTGGAGGTTCTTCCAGGGAGTCGCTGGCATCCATTTCTTTCTTTCTACTACTTTAGTCCAGATATCTCCACACAACTCTGAGACTTTCCTAACTAGTTTCCACACTGTACACAGCCATCTGCTGGGACTGTGCACACCCAGGTTCCAAAAACTTCAGTGGCTCACCAGACCCAGCCCACCTGCGGCCTGTCTCCACACTGCCCCTCTTTCAGGAGACAGGACGAGGCTGGGGTGTTTCCTCTTATGACCACCCTGAGCGACAGCCTCACCTTCATCCTGCCCAGCTTCCTACAGCTGGGCCGCTGGCTGTGTGACCCCAGGCAGCCAAGCCGGCCACCCTGAGCCTCAGCACCCTTTCCTGTAGCAGGACAGTATCACCTGCCTGTTAGGGCTGCTCTCGGGAGTAAATGAGGGCAGTCAGCCAGGGCCTTTGATACACAGAGGGCTGTCGCTGGTGCTCTCCTCCTGCCACTCCCTACTCACAGGGTTCTCCCCACCCCCTACCTGTAGTGGGCTCCTCTGGCCCTACTCACCCACATCTCGCTCATTCTCCAGGACCTTCCCTATGGCTCTTCCATGGGGGGCTTCTGCAATACCTTTGCCCTCAGGGTCCCGCTCTGCCCTGACCTAGTTATCAAACAGCCTGTAACATGCCCAAGGTTCTGTACGGACATAACCTTTCATACCAGCAAGACAAAATCCTTGGAGGACAGAATGGCCTGACACACAACCAAGCCATCAGCAAATACCCCAGCCACCAGCTGGGTGTGACTGAAAACTACCATCAACCAGTCCTGAGAGGGGAAGGCATGGCGTTTCATTAAGCTTGAAAGGTCTGGCCCGCAAGGCAGTATGACGTGGCAAAAAGAAACAGGTGTTTGAATTGGGCAGGCTGGGATTAGAGTCCCAGCTCTTCCTTTTCCTATCAACGTCGTCTAATAAACCCCGATGGAGACACCTGCCGCTGGCTGTTCTAAGCCATTTCTGCTCAGAGTGGCCTAAGAACCAGCCACATCAGCACCTCCTGGGGATGTGTTAGAAATGCAGGTGCTCAGGCCCCCGACCTGTGGGTGGGGCTGGTCACCTGCTTTTTAACAAGTGGTCCAGGGGGCTGAAGTTTGACAATTGCGTGATAATTGTTTTCAAACTTAATCACCCCCCAGATGTGTGACCCCAGGTGACAGTTATGTCCTCACTCTACTTAAGGTAAAATGGGGACACTAGACACTGCTTAACAGATCCTCCTGGGGGTGAAAGCACTTCTCATTTGAAAAGGGCAGCTTTCTTCTCTTGTTTTATACCCTTACCTTTGCAGTGGCCGGAGGTCGTTTTAAGAGCTTTTGAAGCGCACTTGGCCGGGTTACTCTGTTTGCCACTAGGGGGCAGGGTTTCCCACTGATTCCCCAGCATCAGAGGGGATTGGGTGTCTGTGGAAGTGGCCGGATCCCTCAAACAGGTTGCAGGGGCAGAAACCAGGCAGGGGGCTTCCCCTGGAGAGTTCATGACTTTATTAACCACTGTTAACTCTGCCTAAACCAAAAAGCAAACTATGCCAATCACATCCTGTCTGTGCTCTCGTCCACCCTCCCACAGGACACTGCAGCCCACTCCATGCCTGCCTAACGTGTCTGAATGGCCTGACCTCGTCTTCCAGCTGTGCCCTGTGCTTACACACTGCCACCCCCTCAGTGCTGGTCATTTGGGGTGACCCCAAGATACCAGTGCAATTATGAGCCTTGGCTCCAGAGGCCAAGCCATAGTACCTAATCAGTGGTGGAGAGAGGGGCAATAGATCCAAGATGACGAAGGATCCCCCTAAATGCAGGTGTTTGAATCGGACAGGCCACTGGAGTCCCAGCTCTGCCTTTACCTGTCAACGTTATCTAACAAATCCCCATGCATCACCTGCCACCAGCTGTTCTAAGCCATTTCTGCTCAGCGTGGCCCAGGAACCAGCCACATCAGCACCTTCTGGGGATGTGTTAAAAATGCAGGTTCTCAGGCCTTGACCTGCCCAGTCAGAAACCCTGAGGGGGCCCCCAGAGGAGCTCTGACAGCATCTTTGACCCAGACAGTAGATCCATTTACTGACCCCAGCTCCAGACTTCCCCCAGAAGAGGGCTCGAGGTCGCCTGCCTGCACACCCTGCTCTGTGGCTTTGGTACCTCTCTGCTCCAAAAGGCTCTGAACAGGATATTCTAGTAGAACCACTATGAAAGGGTCTATCAGTTTTTATAACCAGTTGCTTCTGCGGCAGCTACTGCTCACCCTAACTTCCATATCAATTGCAGGACTTTCTATTCTGTTCCTTGTAGCGGTGTGTCCCTGACACAACCCCCCATCTTTATTTTACAATTACGCATTCCTTTAAACACCCTGGGGAAGAGGCTAGACAGCTAAAATTTTGAGACAATTTTTGAATGTGTTAACATTCTAAGGGAAAGACCATCTGTCTCCTACACACCATCATTCCAGAGGATTTAATTCCTTGTGTGGGCTAAAGACACGATTATGAGACCACATTACAGTCTAAATAATTCTCCTTCCAAAGCTAAGGTGATCAGTCTGGTGAGATGCACAGTCTTAATCACGCACAAAGCAGAGATATTGATTGTCTATATTTTCAAATAAGTGAGATTCCTTTATTGTGCAGCCAGACCTATTTATTATTAGACTATAAGAGATAAATACAATATGTCTTTAAGGGAAAATAAAAAACTCAATGCAGTCCTTATAAGACAGAAGTAAAAGGTCAGAAACTGAGGATTCTGCTTACTCAGTGACTAACAACTTTCTCCTTGAAAAGTCCATATTGTGCCTTCAGTTTCTTTCTGTTATTTTTTGGCCCACTGAGATCTGCTTCCACATTCTAACTGAAGTTTCTCTCACTGTGTGTTCAGTGACCTCCATAGCCAATAAACTGTTTTCATTGACAGGCCTCATGCCCTTGCCCCTCAGATAAGAATAGCTCAAACTCCCATCCCATGTCCTAGAGAAATTCCAACACCTTCCCCAACCTCTCATTTTTATGCAGTTGGTTTCTCCTTGAGTTCCCAAAGTGGCCCCTGCCCCACACTTCGAAATACCTATTACTGCAAGATAACATGGGTCTGTGGGTTGCAGAAATGGTTGTGTAGAAGCATTTCACCACCAACAACATTTAAGTGTGTATCAATCAAGCAGCTTTTGAAATTCCTTTCTTCACATCTTCCACCAAGGGATTCTCACTGCTGCTGCCATCTTTCTGCTTTTTTCACACCTTCCACTCCTATCACTCTGCCTTACCTAACTTGAACATTCTAGCTCTATTAAAAGGGGCAATTTAGGTCTGTCCCTCTAAACCCATCAAGAAGTTCAGGGTATACAAGGGTTCCAATGCCTGAGCAGGCCAGTAGAGACCCGAGGTTCCAGACTCTCCTTTAAGGGTGCCCAGCCTTCTCAAGAGGCACCCCCTCCCCTTCCAGGGAGGAGTCCTTACTGGCAGCACCTCCTTCCAAACAAAATCCCTCACCAGATGGAGAATTCCTACTCCCTCTCCTGATCAGCTCCTTTAAGGAAACTGCTTTTGCCCACCCTTTGGGCTGGAGATCCTCAGGGTTCGGTCCTTGGCCCTCTGCTATAGCGCACACTAAGTTAGGGATTCTCAACCCTAGCTCACATTAGAATCACTAGGAAGAGGGGGTGTTTCTAAAACTCCTGATGAATAGGCTGGACCCCTTCCAAATCGATAGAATCAGATTCCTGGACCTAAACCCCAAGACCTCAGTAAATGACAAACCTCTCTCAGATGCCATCATCATAACTTTTAAAACTACAGATGCCTTGACCTTGCTCAAGATCAATTAAATAAAAGTCTGTAGAGCAGGGTCTCAAATGATCACACTGTGCAGCCAGGATTAAGAACCACTGCAATGATTTTCAAATCTTTCACTAAACTGAACCCACAGTTCTTACAATCACGGGCCATCTCCACCTGAACACTCCATAGGTACATTTCTCTTGCCTAGGCTGCATCTCGTGCATGGTAGTGCAGCTAACTAGAAGTGATGCCTAACTTGAATATTGATTTTAGCTCCTCTTTAGCACTAAATAAGCCAGTTGACCATGCCTGACAACCTACCACAACTCCCTCACAAGCCTCACCATCAGCACCGCTCTTATTTGGGTCTTCTTCCTTTTCCTCAAACCACGGCCATTTATACTTGACCATTTTCTCTTCCTAGACTCTTCTCCAACGAAATCATCTCCCATATTTTCACAAGTGCAAGGAGTTAACGAGAAACAATTTTTCAGTGCTGATGTGGATGTGGAGAAACAAGGGGCACTTCTGGTGGAGTGAAAACTGATCAGCATCTTTGGGATGATTTTGTAATATCTATCAAAAGTAAAATCATAAATATGTGTGTTTATGTGTGTATAGGTGTGTAGGTAAACATACAGTTACACATACATCTATACATAATTTTATACGCATAGGTGGACATGTATATAAACATATTCCACTTCAAGTAATGCATCCCTCAAATACTTTCTGCACTTGTATAAAGGCAACTGGGTAAGGATATTCATTGCACCAGCTGGCAACAGCAAAAATGTATAACCAACCAATCTAATCTATTATCAGTAAGGAAATGGCATAAAGGCCAGTTGTATTCCACACAATTTCAAATTATAGCATACCTATAAGGTGGTAAAGAGAACAGATATATAAAAATATCTATGGGTCATACAAATTTAAAAAAAAAATGAAGAGATTTTATTTTTTTATTAGTGATTGATCTTTGGGGAGTGAAACTAGGTTTCTGGAATAAAACAGGACACCTGCTTTTCAGTATTTAACCTTTGGTATTATTTGGATTTTTTACCTTTTGAGTAGATTATTTGAAGTTTCTGAACACAGATTTACACATATAGCTATGAATTTGGTTACATATTAGAGCTTGGTACAGAAAAAACTAAAAGCACAGAAATTATCAACACCAGGGAAAACAAAAATTGCACAACAAATGAAATTTAATTATGATACACCATATGGCTCAACTGTGAATATATTGACAAAACAATTTAAAAACTGACTAGCGACCTAAACAAACACTACAACTATACTGTGAAGCTGGGAATGGGTATCTGTTGGGTATAAGTGGGGATCTGTTGGAAAAAAAGGTACAGGGGGAAGTAAGAAACTTACACCCTTATCTTCTAGAGTAGAATCTCAATGAATAACAAAACATCAAGAAATAATACTACCTTACTTGGAAAAAAAGAGACAAATAAGGAAAGCTATTTTAAAATTGGAATTTGTTTCCTTAAAGGTGCCAGAGTTAGAAGTAGGGTAGTATTTTTTTTTTTAATTAAGGGATAATTAAAACTGTCTTTCCCATTTTGGCTGGGGTACATCCGAATCACCCTAGAAATGTCTTCAACACATACATGGACTTGCTATACTAGAAATGGGATGTGGTAAAGAGATGTCTAGCCTGAAAAATCTCCCCAGGAGATCCTGCAGCCTCTTCCCCACTAACACCCTTCAAACCACTATTCTAAACAATTGATATGTTCATACATACTCCTGTTTAAAGCCCACCAGTGGCTTCTGTGGGCCTTAGAGACTAAATCCAAATTCTTAGCAAGAAGTACAGACTCATCAGGGCCTAACCTTTACTCTTCCTATCTGCCCTCATTTCTGGGTTCTCCTGCTTTTACCCCTCTTCCATACTGACCTCAAGTTCCTCGAGCTGTCAACATGTAAGAAGGAAGAGCTAAGTCAACACAGGTAGCTTCTTTCTGATCACACCTTGTCTCCTCTGCTAGAGCTCCCTAATGCTGCTAATTTCTAAGTGCTGGGTACCAACTATGTGCTGGCCACTTACCTGTTGGTGTATCCAGCCCGGGCCTCAAACCTCAATAACACAAACTGTACTGAACTGCCTGACAGTCTCCCCCTCGGATCGCCAATAGGTGTCTCAAACTTTTATATCCACAATAGAAACCCTGATTTCCATCCAAACTTGTTCCATAGTCTTCCCTACCACAGCAACTACCCTATTTGTTCAAGTCGAAATTTTAGGAATGATACTTGACCCCCCTGTCTTTCATTCTGCACATCAAGCTCACTGATAAGCTTTGACGTTTCAACCTTTCAACCTCCAAAATGGACCTCGACTCTTTCCAATGTCACAATCCTGGACTATAGCAAAGCTTTCTCTCCAGACACCGATCTTCTGCTTCATGATTTATTAATCAGATCACATCATTCCCTGCTTAAAACATTCTAGTAGCTTCTTCTATTGCTTTTTCAAATAAAATTCAAATTCCTGAGAACCTAAATGATACAACCCCTGACAGCATTCCCACCTCATGTAGTGGGAAGGTCACTAGAACCAGCCACCTTCCAAAGTGGTCCACTAGCCCAGTACCACGAACAGCAGCCTCCCTCCCCTGGTCAGTAGCTTGCTGTTTGCAAGAAGGCACTAAATTTGAACAAATGAAGTTGATCAGCCCTGGGTGGGGACGAGAAGGCATCTTAACCATGACACAAAATTCCTTCTTTCTTTTCACCTTTCCTTCACCATCTATCTTGACAACCAGGGAGTGGTTGCAAAGCCCACGCACGCACACCACACCCACCACCTGAATGGCATCCTCCGCTATTTCCCAGGAGCTCTGCCTCAGGAGTCCACAGGGGACAGTTTGGACCTCACAGCGAGGTCCAATTGTGGCATTTTAGAACCTGTTTCCAGGCTGCGGTAGACTTAGTCTGTGCCCCATCAAGGGGGGCCCTCCAGTCCCTGGAGAGCTTCCCGCACATGTCATGGCTTTGCTATCTCTTCTCCTGTCGGTGGTTAATATTAGAAGCCTGAAGATGGTGAGGGGCATTTGCTGCCTTTACACACAGATGTTTCTAAGGACAACAAAGAAGCTGGGATCACCAAGTCTTCATGTTCATAAATGTGTCCTAATTAATTTAAAATTATAATAAACACAGGTAGTGCTTTGCAAATAGCAAGAGGCATGCCTTCTAAATAATTAACTAAAACCCGTTTCTTGAAGGAATGGGTATGGCAAAGCCTAATGTCAACAGTGCCTAAGCGCTTGTCTACGTGCCTGCAATGAAAAAGGGATCTCTATTTACTCTAGTTTCTGCAAACATTTCTCATATGCAGAGAAGTAGCAGAATAAGAGGAGAAGACCAGCTACTGTTCACATGCTGACTGTCTCAGGGCAGGCTCTCTGCAGAGCAGAGAAGCCTGATGTAATCTTATGGGCTTGGGGCCCTCACAGGCCTGGGTTTAAGAACTGGCTCTGCCATTCTCTGTATGCCCTGGATAAGTTCATTTACTTCTCTGAGTCCTGGCGTCTTCACCCATCAATTGGGAATATCACCCCCTCCCTCGTGGGGTTGTTACAGGGATTTATGGAGATAATGGAGCTAAAGAATCTGAGGCCAGCATTTACCCAGCACGTGCTGGGTAAATGATAACTGTTGTTATTGCGTGATTATGCTCCTCAGTAGCAGTGATCCGGAGTCTATTACTCACCTCCTGCCGTCCGCCTTCTGGGTCTTCGCCCAGTGCTCCACTTGGGCCAGACTGCTCTTCCTCTGGCTATGCTTGTCATGGTTGGTCCTGGGAGGAAAGGCCTGCTGGTACCCGCCAGTCCCATTCTGCTCTCCTGGGCCATACGAGGTGGGCAGCATGCCATTCTTCTCTGCCCGCTGGGGCTGTGCCTGCTGGCCTCTCAGCCCACCAGGTAAATCCACGAACAAGGCCTCCTCATCGACAGGTGAGTAGAGAGACCTGGCCTTACTCCTGTCCCGCTTGCCCTCCAGTGGGTCTCTCTGGGGACGGTACCGTTCTTCCTCTTGCTCCCGCCTCTCGTACCTGAAGGAGTCCTCAAGGCCACGATGAGGACAATCCCTTTTGTGTCCTGGTGCCACACGGCCACACTCACGACAGGATTCTGTGTGGTTGGTCTGGGGAACTGCCTGCCGCTCTGCTTTCTCCATGTCCCTGCAACAACAGAGACCGTCAGCCCGTTCCAGACAGCAGTTTGCAAACCAGACTACACTAGTGTAGTGATGAAAACACACGACCCACAGGTCAGCCCAGGCCTTTGCAGAGGCTGCTTCTGCTTTCAGAACATCTTTCATGCACAGTCCTCCGATCTGCCTGTCAAACTTCTACTCCTTTGGGGATCTGGCTTGAATGTCACCTTCCAGAAGCTGCCCCAGATATATACCCCAGTCTAGATCAGGGCCTTAGCAGACCCCACTGCCACACTACTCACACTGAACCCTAATTGTGCGTTTATTCATCTGGCTCCCAAGTAGACAACGAGTTCTTTCAGGCCAGAGACCTACCTGGCCGATCATGCTCTATCCAGAACTTCCACACAATGATGGCTACTGAATAAGGTATTCTATAAAACCACTGAGCAAAAGAACAAATGAGTGACAATATCATGGCTTTCGCTCTGGCTATCTGTCCATTTATTTGGGGCTCCTGAGCCCAGATCTCTCCACCTGGCATCCAGCACAACCCAAAGTACAACTGGCAGCCAAATAACACTCTGGGAAGATGGGAGTGGAGGAGAGTACAGAGCACAGAGAAGAGGTATAAGGGTCTTCACATGACAGCTTATTTATCTCGCCAAGGAACAGCTCAAGCAGAACACAAGAACACTAGCCAATTCTAACACCAATTCTCTGATGTACCATTAATCATGTTTTAGAGATAAGGAAACCGAGGCACAGATTGTACAGCTGGAAAAGAGTGGAGCCAGGGTCTAATCCCAGGAAGAGTGCAGATTCATGTGCGTCCCTGGTCTATGGAAGGTCTTCGCTCACACCAGCTGGTTCTTGGAAACTGGGACTTTAAGCAAAATGACACAATGAAACCAGGTACTTGAGTGACATCATTTCCTTCAACATAGCCAGAATTCTTTTATTTCTCATCAACCATGAAATGAAATGATGAATGAAGCATATCTCAAGGACCTGCTGTACCTGCAAACCTAGAAACGGTGCAGGAGAATGGGTGGAGGCGTGAGGTCAGGGTGTGAGCATGGAGTGGCCTGTCTCCCACTATAAACTCCCACACCTTGGTGAAAAAGTCCTGGTACTGAGATGTCCCATTCCTCCCCAGGTCTAGCCCCTAGCCAAGGGTTCTCCATTTCAACATGACAGTAGACAGTAGACAGTGCTGCTGCATCAACTCCTCAATGACCAGACCCCCGGGGTCCTTGCAACCCTCTCAGAACCTCTGCTATCAAGAATCAGCACGAATTCAGGGAGAAGCAATCCAAGCTGGGAGCTAGTGAGAACTCTCAGTATTAAGTGGAAACACAATCCCTAACAGTCTGTTTTTCAGTGTGTGTATTGGTTTCACGTAGGCATGGAGAGCTGAGACCAGAACCACGCAGTGCTATGTTCATTTAATGTGCCTTTTCCATGAAAACTCAAAGCTTTGTGGGGGAAAAAATAAAAGCTTCTATGGAATATGTTATCCATCACCCGAGGACATTCCCCCCACCCATCTCTCATCCCTTCTTCTGGATGTACCATTACAAGTTGGGGGTCACCCTTCCCCCCCCCCCCCGCCCACTCTCTACAGCCTGTGTAGTGTGGGTACCATGGACACTTTCCCTGTCAGTGAAGATTCCAAAGCCCGAGTTCTGGGTTCAGGGTTGACCCTGACCCAATCCAGGCCAACCAGAGTCAGCCCTAGAACGTTGGGTCGCTGGGCCTGACTCTTGGTAGCAGCTTTTTGAAAATGAACCCCAGATCCAGGAGAGCCGATGGTGGCCAGAAATACAATCCTCAAGACTTGGTCTGGGCTCTCAGTTAAGCCACACCCAAACCAAATAGATCCTTGACTTTTTGGTTGTGAACTAACACCTTTTCTCATTTAAGCAAGTTTGGGTTTAGTGTCTGTTGCTTGGTACAGGAGTCCAATTACATCATTTTTATGGTGGCATATCTGTGGGCCCTCCTGTTCCTGATGTTCATGGTGCTAAAAACTCTTTGGAAAATATTTGTGGGCTATACTTTAAGCTGGTCTATGATATATACATTACAGGTTTCAACTTTGTCTTTCCTTTCTTCTTTTAATCCTCTGTAACCAGGTCAGTGTAACCTCAAACCAGCAGCCAGTAAGTTGCCTAAATCAACCTTTATCTTCCTTACTGCTTCTCAAATTCAGGAAACTGCCTTAGGGGCTGTGCTCAGGCTGCTGTCTAAAGATCAAAGCTCTGTGGCCAAGCCCCAAAGTCCCAAATTGGTCACTCCAACTGTGAGCCCAGAGTTAACTGTACCTCTTTGTCATTCCCACCCCAAGATAAACAGCACCTTGTCATAAAGCCAGGTAGTGAAACACAATATGCCACCTACAAGGAAAAGGGGCACTTTCTCGAATTCAGGACCCAAGGAGATGGCTACAGTGTCTTAGTCTGACCAGCTGAAACATGGATTTTTAGTCTTTACCAATCAAGCACTTTATATTTATTGAGCACCTATATATCCCCAGCAGGTGTATAAGAAAACAGCAAAAAAACACATCCCTTGCCTGAGAAACCAAATGACCCTAGAGCCTGATTTCATCATGCTGATTTAGTGCTTTTCTCGTAAACTGACTCCACATCACAGAGTTGGCCTTCTTTTCTAACCTTGGGGCAAACTACAAACCTTAGTCCTTCTGTGTATACACACATGTGTGCCCACCTCCCATATACGCCAGTACTTCCTGAAAATAAATGTGATAAAGAATCACAAACCAAAAAAAAAAAAAAGAATCATAAACCCTTTTCTTCTGATGAACACCAGCATGCACACTGCATAACAAGCCTTCGGGTGCTGATAAAGGGTGGTCTATGAGCCACCAGCTAGCTTTCTAGTCGCCGAGACTTGAAGTTATAAACAGCTTCTTATTCCTATGACTGCAGGGGACATATATAAGATGACTCGGGACCCAAAATGTTGAAGCTCTGTCTGCAGGCCAGGAAGGTGATGGTTCCTGCTTCTCCACTTTACCTGACTTAAAGGCAGAAATGTGTTCTGGCTTTCTCCACATCTCCTTGCATTCCCAACTATTTAGCACACAGCTTCTTAAATCAGGAGACTTGTCACAAAATAGATATGCAGTGTTTGACTTTGTACAACAGCTAGGGAACAATGAAGTACTCTTCCACTGTCAGTGATTAAGGGAAGCTGGCCTTGCAGGGCACAGATATTCCACTGGGATGACACAGCCTTTCCTGTGCAGGTCATTTCTAAGCACCAGAAATCAGTGATGTTCAAAATGCAAGAAAATCCTGACATCTGGTGACATTTTGGCTAGATGTACCACTTTTCAAATACGACAAGCCCAGAGTGTTTATGGATTAGAGCCAGTCATACCTCGATTCTAGAGCTGGCTCCATCGCATACAACCTGAGTGACTGGGCAAGTCCCTGACCTCCCTGGTTTCAGGTTCTGCATCTGCAAAAGGCGGGCAACAAGCCTTGCGCTCTTGGGTTGGGACCAAAGAAACAAGGCACAGGAATAGCATAGCACCTGGCACACAGAGCGTCAGTCCTCAAGTCCAAATGCATCTACACCCAGTATCTAGTATCGTCTCCTTCCTTTGCTCAAAGATTTCCAAAGCAACAGTAAAAAAAAAAAAAAAAAAAAAAAA